CTGCCTTCATCAGGGGGCTCACGAAGAATTGCGCGAAAATGTCCAATGCCTGTGTGTCGTCGCAGATGGGGTTGGGGGGGAGGGGTACAACACCTGGTGTGATCTCTCGAGACAGGGCACCTTGCCTACTGTTACTATTTAGAGATTGCACCACCGATGTTTGCGTGTTTTGATGACGTGTCTGGACAGTGCATCCTCGCATCCTGCACCACCCCCCGAGCACGGCTAGTGGGACGCGAAAGGGGGAGGGCGAGTGACTACGCGGCGGAGCGTGCCACTCGCTCATTGTCCATAGCCAGGCTTAAAATATAAAACATCGCTACATAGACATGTTACCTCGGCGTTCACCGTCGAGAGTTCCTTTACAACACTTTGTCCGAAAGATTTACACCTAAACTTCCGAGACAAACACAGCAGTACCACGGAATCTCGCCCGCGTCGTTTGGGCGCAGGTAAAAATCCTGCGGCGGTTTCAAAACGACCCCTGCCAAGCACACGCCGTACCAAAGCAACCAGGGGCGGCATGGAGACACATGCAGCACACACGGCACCCGCACAAGCACCGGCGAACGGCACTCTAGTCGTCTTGTCTTGAAACAGCAGTATTTCTTGTCTCCAAACATGCAGCAGTTAGTCGCATTTCGACGGCAGGGGGGACAGCAACAACAGAATACCCAGGCTTCCGCCGCTGATGCTGATGCTGTGTCTACGCACCTTCTCCAGGTGTTGCGGCAGCACGTCGAAGTGGTAAAGGGTGTACTCGCACTCCGTGAAGGCGTTGGTGGAGCCACCGCTGGCGGAGATGAAGGAGTCGTACTCGTTTTCGTCGGGGTACTTGGTCGAGCCCATGAACAGCATGTGCTCCAGGTAGTGGGCCAGGCCCTGGTGTATGCCACACACACAACGTTGTGTTAGCAAAATAACGCATACATTCTTCAGTCCGAACGGCGCGTGTTCGGGGTGCACGCTCGAACCCATGGATTTGCGGGGGAGAAAAAGCGAGCGGTAGAGTCGGAAGGAATCCACGACCTTTCCTGGTTAACCCAGCGCCTGGTTGGCGTGTTTCTGCAGCCTCAGCCGCCAAAGAAACCAAGCGCGTACAAAAACAACATTGTTTCCGTGACCGATCTCCCGTGGGGGGGGGGGGGGTTCCGCTGGATGCTGCAACTCCAAACGGGCGCGCACCTGGCAGTGCTCGGGGTCCGACAAATTTCCCACTGAAACCGCCATCGCCGCCGCCGCCTTCTTGACGCCCTCTGGCTGCTGCTCCCCTCCGTCCTGGCCGTCTAGCCCTCCTCTCTCCTCTTCCTCCTCGCTGTCGTCGTCGTCCTCGCCGTCCTCGTCCTCATCGTCATCATCATCATCATCATCATCATCGTCTTCGTCTTCGTCTTCGTCTTCGTCGTCAGAGCTGCAGTCCATGGTTCCCTGACCCCCGCCGCTGCTCTTGCTGCTGCTGCTGCTGTTCGACCTGCTGGGAAACTCATCTCGTCAGCTCGTTCGACTGTCTGTCGTGGATAGGTGCCCTGATGCCGCCTTACAGTAGTACAAGTTGACCTCTTGGCCCTAACCGTACAATAGCCATACTTCATACAACAGAAGATGGGACAGGAATCACGAGGTGTTTGCGAGGTGATTTTGTAGCCACAACGAGCAAGAAAGAGCTGGACGCAGTACATAGCACTTGCAACAACATGTGATGTACTACTATGTATTGCGACAAATCCGTACCCCATTTCTCAACACTCAACCAAATACGTAGGTGGCTGCATTGGTTATTACTGGCGGCGCAAGGCGTTCTCAACAACGCCCGAAGTATGCCTTGTGACGGTAAAAATAAGCGAACGCGTAACAGGTTCATGTGCGCACATGCGTGCTGGCGAGTGTTGCAGGAAGAGCATGTCGGACGACTCAGGTCGGCAGCTACCAGCCTGCTATTGCTCTCTGTCCAAAAATAGAAACGCTGTGGCGTCGATCCTCCTCGCGCAGAAACTACTTCCTCCAATGCAACATCTCACAGCACCAGCGCACCATTGGCGTCAACGAACACGCACCCGTTCGACACCGCAGCGGGGGGGTCGTGTATCAACAAGACTCGAAGGCCGTTCGGAAGCTTGACGAGCCTGTAGCTCTTGTGGTCCGAATCGGCCTTGGTGGCGTCAACATCGGCGCCGACCTCCACCTTACAGCAAGAAGTCGTCGATATCGTTTAGACGGCACAGCAGCAGCAGCAGCACCAGTATGGCAGGAGCACAAAGCGAGGGGGGTATTGAGGCACGCCGACAAGACATCGCACCCCCATCTCGTCTTTTGCCCGGTGTACGTGTCAGTGTTCAATACTGGAGGCACGTAAGAGAGGATGCCGAGTGACGCTTCAGTCCAAGCCTCGGGTGGGGGCTCTTTGCGGCAATGGCGGTGAATGCGCAGCGTACCCATGGAGCATGCACCTAGTCGAACGTTAGCAGTGTGCTATTTTCGTTACGTAGGGAACCACACGTCGTTGGCAACCACAGCCCACTAATAGACTTACGTCTTAACAGAGTAACCACCTGACCCTGCTGTTTTGTCTATCCTCGTTTTTTCAATGAACAGCAGTGCGAAGAACACTCATGGTTCAGTGCAACGCTCACATTGTTACCTACGCCAGAACGACGAATTATTCAAAAATGTACAGGAATGCACGTTGATTGCACCCTCGCTACACAGCAGTCACCACTTTGTAGTACAGATGGCGCCCGCACTTCGGAACCGCTAATATTGGCCAAGGCTCGATGCTTATTGGCTGCCTCAAATTGAGCACCTGTTCTTATTTTCAAAGTTCTTATTTCGAGCAGGCATATCCGTATGATGCACGGGGTTCTTGTTCTTGTTTCTACGCCGAGGGCCCCATTCGGAGGACGTTTTTTTTTTCTGGGTGGATTCAGCCTGACACTTGAGAGCAGCGTGTTTATGAAACAGAGTATATTAATAGAACGTCGCTCAAAAAAGACCTCTGGAATCGACGTACCGCAGATCACGATAGGGTAGAGTTAAATGCAGAGGCGGTATCGCCTGAAAAAATGACGCATCTGAGTAAACGCGTTGAAACATTTAGAGGTCCACAAGGGTCACGTTCGGCGTGATTGCCCTCCCCGCTCTATCTACCGCCCGTCGTAGCTACATTGCGACCTTCACCGTGCTCTCGAATGCCGGATCTCCTCCCTGCTCTACGGCGCGCTCCCCTCAAGCAAAGCCCACCACCCTACCACCGCACCCGCATCTTCACTGTGCCTGTCCAACGGCATTCATTCGGCGGGTCTTTGGTCTACATGTACATGTAGCTCGAAATGCACACGGTAGTCGTAACGGTGGCGGGTACGCTCCTGAAACGGCCGAGTGATCAGCTCACCAAATCAGCCCATGCTCAGTTTTACGAGTACTCCACACGCAGCAACGAAATGTCAAGAGCAGCGGGTTTAGACGCTTGAATTCGAAAACTGGTGGGTGCGAAGAAGGAAGAGGCGTCGGAAAGCTTTCGTCGCCCCCGAGCCGACTCGATGGCCTCCCAGTCTGACTTCGTGGGCAGTTGCCAGCAATGACATGTTCTTTGATGGCCTCTAAGTGTCGATCAAGAATTCCACCTCCTTCCAACGTCGACAGCTGGCAGAGCTCTTTCAATATTTCAAGGGGTAAAGACATGGCTCTCGTGCATGGCACGCAGCGTGGCAGGCACCCCAATGACACGCGACGAGGGGCATGCCTTGTACAACAAAGCTAAGCACCTTCCCCCCCCCCCCCCCCCCCCCT